AATGATTTACCAAGCGGCACGGCCATAGTCTACTACCCGCACGGCTTCCGGACGGCAAATGGTTTACTATCCGCTCGGCAATAGTCTACTATCCGCACGGCAATGGTTTTCTATCCGGTGCCCTGGCTGTCGGTGAACCTCTGTGCAAGGAGGGAGAATGAAGGGGGACTTTCGACTATCGTACCATTAACAATTTAATAAAGATTAGTTAAGGTAATTGAATAGGTAGATAGGATTATTTTTATTATGCAATTTGAGATGCAGGCACCGCTAAGCTTTCTGATGAGAATCTACTCTTTTTCTATCTTTCTTCATCAACACGGGCTGTGTTTCAACAATAATCTCGAGGAGGACTGGCACCAGTTTTCGAGGACAACGTAGGAACCGGACCGCATTCAACATTCTGCCTTTGTCGAATGGACGACGGTAAGTTTTTTTTACATTTCACTCACTTTGTTGTTTTAAAATTTTATTTATTTGACATTATTTTTATTTTATAATTCAATTTTTTTGCTTCTAAGATTCTAACATTCATTTACTACTATGCAAATAAAAAAAAATTTGTTTACAGAAGGATGAGAGGTGGGCAGTGGTGGGCGTCAGCACGTTTCAGATGATGGTCTCATGATGATGGTGGTGTAGGAAGAATCAGCTCGTTGGCTGTCGACTGACACTCTGAAGTTCGGATGACATCTTGTGTGCCGACCAGATGATGGTGGTCGGTGCATTGGAGAGTACAGTAACGACGATTTTTGAAGTAAGCTTTAGTTTCGTTTTTTTATTTTTCTCATTCATTCATTTCCTCACTCAATCTTTCAAATTATTCAATTGATCAATTATATTTATTCTTTGATTGATTAATTCATTCATTCGTTCACTTTATCAATTAACCAATCATTTGTTCCTTTGTTCCTTTGTTCGAACATTTATTTACTACAACGTTAATACAAAATTTTGTCTACAGAATGATGAGAGGTGGGCAGTGGTGGGAGTCAGCACGTTTCAGATGGTGTTCTCATGATGGTGGTGGTGTAGGAAGAATCAGCTCGTTGGCTGTTCGACTGAAACTCTGAAGTTCGCATGACATCTTGTGCCGACCAGATGGTGATGGTCGCTGCAATGGAGAGTACAGTAACGACGATTTGTGAAGTAAGGTTTAGTCTTGTTATTTTATTTTTATCATTCATTCATTCGTTCATCTTATCACTCAATCTTTTAAATTATTCTTACATTAATTGATTCGTTAATTCATTTTATTCATTCGTTGAATCATTGATTGATTAATTCATTCATTTATTCACTCAATCATTCAACCAATCATTCAGTTAATCATTGATTCGTTCGTTCCTTTGTTCCTTGATTTACGACTACGCTAATAAAAAAACTTGTCTACACCATGATGAGAGGTGGGCTGTGGTGGGCGTCAGCACGTTTCAGATGGTGGTCTCATGATGATCACGATGACAATTCGAAGATAACAACAACGACGATTTTTTGTGGGATTGTAGTTGATTGTTATCTCAAAAAGATAAGTTGCCAATTGCTTTTTTCAATTTTAGTGTTTTTCAGTATTTTACTTAACAAAATTAATTTTTTTTTCAGATTTTGTGTTTTTCAGTATCCGGTCAAATTCACGATGCGTGTCAGATGATGGTCGGTGCAATGGAGGTTCGTCCGTAGTGAAGAAGTTTCTGGAGAGTACACACGCGCACAATTACACACACACACATCAATACAACACACACATGCACAACATCCATTATTCGGTGTCGTTGTTGTTATGTTTCTCTTCAACTTTTCTATTTTCTTTACCGGACTTTAATTTAATTCGTAGGTAAGTTAGGGATTGAGATGAGTTGGACAATCGTAGGTAGGCTAGGGCTTAACATCAGTTAAAAAGTTTCTAACAAAAAAAAAATTTAAAAAAATAAATTATACAAAAAAGGCAAATTAAAAACGTTAAAATATACAAAATACAATACCTGAAACATGTAAAATCCCTAAAACTTAGAAATATAAATTTGTAGGTAGGTGAGATGAGTTAATAACTATAGGTAAGCTAGGGCCCTGAGAGTAATTTTATTATAGGTAGGTGACTGACTACTATTCTTACGAATTTTTACTGATGTGTTTGTTTTTGCTTCACAACACCACACCAACAAAACGTAATAAATTTTTTTTCGTCGTCGCCTTAAATTTTACTTTTTATGTTTTTATATCTGTTTGTTTACAATAAATTCAGTATCTATATTTTATTTATTTTTTTTTTTATAAAAACAAACCTCAAAAAAGCAATGTTAAACTTCTTTTTCAGACAACTTTATTCAATATTATAATTCTCCGTAAATTCAAAATTGACGATGATGATGATAGTGCCAGTAATGATGATGATGGTAATGATGTTGGCGATGATGATGATGATGCTGATAAAGTGGTTGGTGGTGATGATGACGATGATGTTCCCGCTAAAGAATGATGATAAGGATGATGGTTGTGGCGATGAACGACGATAAAAAGCAAAATATTAAAACAAAGAATAAAAAAAAACAATGAAACGATGACTTCTTTTACTTTGCTAATAATAATAATAATAATAATAAACAACAACAATAATAATAAAAATAACAACAATAATAATAATAATCGTCTGATTGTGGTTATATGAAAAAAAGATTTATCAAATTATAATTAGTTACAATCATAATGTGAAATCAACTCTTTCCCTCTCTCTCTCTCTTTCTCTCTCTCTCTCTCTCTCTCTCTCTCTATGTATATATATATATATATATATAATATAAAAAATTACCCTGAAAATGTATGAATACATATATATATATACACATTTATGTATGAAGTCTTAAATTTCAAAAAAATTGTCTGTCTGTTTGTTTGTTTGTATGTTTGTTTGTATGTTTGTTTGTATGTTTGTTTGTATGTTTGTTTGTATGTATGTATGTTCGTACATTAATCTTCATTCATTAATTTATTCATTCATTCATTCTTTTATTTGGCCATACTAACATTAATTCATTCAATCATTGGTTAGTTTATTTAATGATTCGTTCATTCATTCATTCATCCATCCATCCATCCATCCATTCATTTATTCGTTGTTGTTTCAAACGATTTTTAAAATTATAACTTGTGTCGGTTGTAAATCTTGTTGTTGTTGTTGTTGTTGAGGTTGTTGTTGTTGAGGTTGTTGTTGTTGGTGTCCTCGGTGATTTTGTTGCAGCTGATGTTGATTATCATTCTTTAGAACTGTCGCTTTAACGTTAAATGTTGTCGATGGTGCCGCCGCTGATGATGATGATGATACCGGAACTGATGATGATGATGTTGTTACCGGAACGGATGATGATGATACCGGATCTGATGATGATGATGATGATGATGATGTTACCTGAACTGATGATAATGATGATGTTACTGGAGCTGATGATGATGATGATGATAATGATGCTACCGGAACTGATGACGATGATGTTGCAGCTACAGATTTTGTTACTCTTGATCTAAGTTTCAGTGACGATGAAGACGACGACGACGATGATGATGAGGTTTTCACTGGTTTTGATGATGATGACGATGATGATGATGATGATGATGATGATAATAGTGATGATGTTCTCGATCTGAGTTCCATGGACAGTGGTGATGACGATGCAGATGATGACACGTAATAAGAGTTAGCAGTAATAGTAGTAGTAGAAGTAGCAGCAGCAGTAGAAGTAGCAGCAGTAGTAGTAGTAGAAGTAGCAGCAGCAGTAGAAGTAGCAGCAGTAGTAGTAGTAGAAGTAGCAGCAGCAGTAGAAGTAGCAGCAGCAGTAGTAGTAGAAGTAGCAGCAGCAGTAGAAGTAGCAGCAGTAGTAGTAGTAGAAGTAGCAGCAGCAGCAGCAGCAGTAGTAGTAGTAGTAGTATCAGTAGTAGCAGTAGAAGCCATATTTAGTTGAGAAGTTAATGGATAAGACGATACAGTTGTTGATGTAGTTGTAGTAGCAGTAGTAGTAGCAGCAGCAGCAGTAGTAGTAGAAGTAGTAGTAGTAGTAGAGGCAACTGTAATAGCAGCAGCAGTAGTAGTAGTAAAAGTATTCATACCCGGTTCAGAAGTTAATAAATTAAATGGCATCAATGATGTTGTCTTCGGCGATGTTGTGATAGAAGATGTACTGCTACTATTTTTAGTAGTAGTAGTTTTAGTAGTAGTAGTAGTAGTAGTAGTAGTAGTAGCAGTAGTAGTAGTAGTAGCAGCAGTAGTAGTAGTAGTAGCGGAAGAAGTAGTAGTAGTAGTAGCAGTAGCATTCAATTCAGAAATGAATAATTGGCAGTGAAGTAGTGACGACGATGTTGTTGTTGATGTTGTTGTTGTTGACGACGATAATGATGATGTATTTGATGTTGTTGCTGTCATTATTTCGATAGATTCACAATCTGTGTCATCATCATCATCACCGTTCATCCATTCATTATTACTGCTAATAATAGCAGTAGTAGTAGTAGCAGCATTAGCAGTAGTAGTAGTAGTAGTAGTGGAAGTAGTAGTAGAAGTAGTAGCAGTAGTAGTAGCGGTAGCGGTAGTAGTAGTAGTAGTAGTAGTAGTAGTAGTAGCAGTTGTAGTAGTAGCATCAACAGAATTGTCTTCTTTTAATATTGGATCACATTTTTCTAACTGTAGTTTCACTGACTTCTCGTTCACCATCATCATCATCATCATCATCTTGTTATTATTATTATTGTTGTTGTTGTTGTTGTTATAATTATTATTACTGTAGTGTTTGTTGTTAATGTTAGAGATAGATTTAATGCTGTACATAAATGGCAATGATGCAGACGACGACGACGATGTTGTTGTTGTTGTTGGTGATGATGATGATGGTGATGATGATGATGATGACGGTAATGATGATGATGATGAAGGTAGTGATGATGATGATGTCCCGCAACTTCTGACCGAGTGAAAATTATCGAATACCAAGTTGGTCAGAACAATTTTTAAATCTCTAGACGGCATGGTTGTTGTTGATGATGATTTTGTTGTTGTTGTTGATATTGTTGTTGTTGCTGATGTTGTTGATGTTGATGCTGTTGTTGTTGATATTGTTGAAGTTATTGTTGTTGTTGATGTTGTTGTTGAAGTTGTTGTTGTTGTTGCCAATGTCTTTGTTGGTGTTGTAGACGAAATTTTTGTTGATGATGCTATTGTTGTTGTTGTCGTCGTCAATGGTATAACTGTTGATGTTGTTGATGATATAAGAGTTGTTGCTGCTTCTGATGACGATGTTGTTGTTGTTGTCATAGTTGATGTTGTTGTTGGTAATATAACTGTTGTTGTTGTTGCTACTGCTGTTGTTGTTGTTGACGGTATAACTGTTGTTGTTGTTGTAGTTGATGTTGTCAATGGAATAAATGTCATTGCTGATGTTGTTGTTGATGTTGTTGTTGGTAATATAAACGTTGTTGTTGCAGCTGATGTTGTTGATAATATAACTCTTGTTGTTGTTAGTGTTGTTGTTGTTGTTGTCGTTGATGATGGTATAACTGTTGTTGTTGATGTTGTTGTTGCAGATGTTGCTGACGGTGTAACTGTTGTTGCTGATATTGTTGTCGATGCTGCTAATGATGTTGTTGCTTTGTTGTCATTAATAACATTATCATCAATACCATTATTATTATTATCATAATTTGTTAAATCATCTTTTTCATCATCATCATCATCATCATCATCATCATCATCATCATTGTTATTGTTGTTGTTAGCGATGACGTCATCATTGTTGTTGTTTTTGTTGTTGCTTGGTATTTTAAAACTATCTACTGAGCCAAAATAATCTTCAACAATAGTTGATACAACCGGTGGTACTGATGATGATGGTGGTGGTGGTGATGATGATGTTGTTGTGGCTAATGATGATGATGTTGTTGTGGCTAATGATGATGATGATGGTGATGATGTAGCTAATAATGACGATGAAGATGGTGGTGGTGGTAATGATGATGTTGTTATTATAGCTACTAATGATGATAATGACGATGATGATGACGATATTACTGCTGGTGTTGTTGCTGATGTTGTCGTTGTTGATGATGGTATTGATGATGATGATGACGACGATGGTAATAATGTTGCATGTGATAATGATGATGATGATGTTGTTGTTGATATAGCTGATAATGATGATGATGGTGATGATGATGTTACAGCTGATGATGGTGATGATGATGATGCAGCTACTGATGATGATAATGATGCAGTTACTGATGATAATGATGACATAAGTTCATAATTTTGTTGATATAATTGTTCTTGTTGTTGTAGCGAAAATTGATCGAAATATTGTTGGTACACAAACTGTAGAAAGATCAAATGTTGCTCTAGAAGAGATTGATTAACTTGTTGCTGTTGTATTTGTTGCAATTGTTGTTGTTGATGTTGTAGTTGTTGTTGATGTTGTTGTTGGTAATGTTGTACTAGATGACCCACAATAGCATTGTCTGTTTGATTGTTGTTGATGTTAATGTTATCATTATTATTATTGATCGTGTTGTTGTAATGTTGTTGCTGTTGTTGTAATTGTTGTTGTTGATGTTGTTGTAGTAATTGTTGTTGATGTTGTTGTTGTAATTTTTGTTGTTGTTGTTGTTGATGTTGTTGTTTTTGAAGGTAATTATCAACCTGCTGGCGTAGTTGTCGCTGAAAGCTTGAAAATCTGGACGATTTCTGGCCACAACAGCATGCTGATGTTGTTGTTAATGTTGTTGTTGATGTTGATGTTGTTGTTGTTGTTGATGTTGTTGTTAATGTTGATGTTGTTGTTTTAACTGAATTTCTAAACAGATCATGAAATGCCGGTGGGGACTGTGGTTTTATTTCTGTGAATAAGCATTACATTAAAGGTTAAAGGTCATTTACAAACATTACATTAAAGATTATTTACAAACATTACAGGAAAGGTTACATTACATTACATTACAAACATTACACATAATCAAGAAATTTGTCCAACCAACCAATTACAGCTGACACATTCAAACAACCGGCCAATGACAACCCACGCACATCCAGCCAATCAGAGACCACACATTCAAACAACCGGCCAATGAAATGCACTGACCTCTGATGCACAAATAGTCGAGAAACTTTGCGGTGTCTGCCTTTCTACCTGCCAACAACATTTTCCTGTTATATTTTCTTTTCGGTTTCGACATCAAATTATTATTATTATAAGCATTATCGGCAAACTTTCTCTGACTTTTATTATTATTATTGTTGTTATTATTATTATTGTTATTATTATTATTGTTAATGTTATTGTTGTTGTTATTATTGTTATTATTTTTTAAAGATAGGCTAAGAGCCCTTTCAATATCTCGAAGTTCTCGCCAGGACAAATTATCATAATTATTATTATTATTTTTATTATTACTTCTTTTACTGTAATTCATATTTTTATTATTGCTATTATTATTATTATTGTTATATTTGAAATTATTATTGTCGATTAGTTTAGTATCAATTCTTAACTTCTTCGCAGGAGTCTCGCTCCAGATATCATCATCATCGTCATCATCATCATCATCGTCATCATCGCAATCCTCTTCCTCATCAACATCATAACCATTATTATTATTATTATTATTATTATTATTATTATTATTATTATTATTATTATTGGCAGTATAAATAGTAGAAGTAGTGTGAGTGGTCTTTGTTAAATTATCCCCAGCTGACCTCAACCTGTATTTAGTTAACTTATTTTTATTGATATTATTATTATTGTTACTATTGTTATTGTTATTACTACCCTTTACATATTTGTGATTTCTAACGACAACGCCAATCGGCTCTCCATACTTTATAGCGCATGTTATATTATTCCGAGTTGCTGTCGTTGTTGTCGAAGATTTTCTTGGTTTAGTCGATGTTGTTGTAGTTGTTGTTGAGGATTTTGTTGGTTCAGTTGTTGTTGTTAATGTTGTTGGCAATTTTGAAATGGCAGTAGTTGTTGCAATAGGAAGTAGTAGTGCCGATGTCATGTGAGGCAGTATTGTTGGAGTCATCGGTGTTGTTGTCATTGTTGCATAATTTATGTCGTTGATGTTTTTGTTGTTGTTGTTATCGAGTTTTAGCCTTTTTCTGGGTCTTGCATCATCTTCATCATCACTACCATCATCATCATCATCATATATAAAGACTGAATTATTATCATTGTTATTATTGATTCTATTATTATTTATTGTGGTTTTGTCGCCAACAAAAAAATTCAATATATCATCTTCTTCACTACCAGTATCACTATCATCATCACCACCACCACCACCATCATCATCCTCATCATCGATTTCAATTACTGAAATTCCTCTCCCAAAGTCGTCACCACCACCACCACCATCATCGTTGTCATAATTAAATAAATTATGATCTCTACCTCCTACTTGAGAAGTATTTTTATAACTGGCAGATTTACTATTATAAGTATAATTAGCTACAGTATTAGTACTAAAAATATTATTATTTTTAGTATTTTTAATTGTATTATTATTATTAGTTGTTGTATTAGTAGCTGTATTAATAGCAGTAGTTGACTTAGGACAGGATTTTTTCCTAATCGCATTACAGCGTAAAAGCTCGTCGGCCATCAAAGATACTATGATACTTATTAGTTGATCAGATCATGGCCGTGTGTTAAATTTGATTTTAAAAGATGAGAATTAGTAATTAGTATCATCTCGAGTGCACGAACAAACTTCAAAATCACCGCCCCGTAAAATAGTTCGACTCGACGTTTACTTTTAAACATTTTTAAATGTGGAGTTTTACAAGGATGATGTTTTAAAAGTGGAATTCCATTTAAAGTTATTTAAACTTATTTATGGATGGGTAGCGGGTACGCATAACTGGCATATAAAGATACCTATTTTAAGCCTAAATAAATATTATATATGACATATAGATGTATATATATATATATATAAATTGAAAAAACACATATAAATAAATATGTGGGGTTTTCTACGATTTTAATAGATTCATCGTCTTTCTTTCTCGTGCCTTATCCTTTCAAGACATTGGCGACCACCGACCTCTACAAAATCCGATCTTTGACACTTTGTAAGAGCTGAAATGTGGTGATATTCAACAAGTGACACAAGGACTTCACGAATGTTGTTCGTTGTTGACCGCGATTTATTCTCCCTGCAATCTTTCCATCCAGTAGTTGTTAGATTTTCCATTCTTTCCTTCGGCATGATGTGACCGAAAAACTTCAACTGCCCCCGTCGGATTATCTGTAATAATTTCCTCTTTTCATAACTGTTTTAAAACATCCTCATTCGAAGTATGAGAGGTCAAACTAATTTTCATAATTCTTCTCGAAAACCACATTTCAGCAGCGTTAATCTTTTTTTCGGTTTCTTCAAAAATTGTCCAGGACTCAGAGCCGTGAGGAAAAATGTTTCAATTTTGTTGATATTCTGATTTTACTGTTGGTGAGGATGTTTTTCATTTTAAAATATTCATCTTTCGCCCATAGCTATCTTTATTTTGATACCCACATCACATTTACAACCTGAGGTAATCAGACTTCCGAGACAATTGAAGTTGTTGACTTGTTTCACCCGTTTACAATTGATAATTATGGAGCAGTGCTGATTCTGTGAAGACATCTCTAAACATTTCAAATTTAGATTTATTTACGTCTTCCGTCAGTAACTGAAAACGATTCCGTACTTCAAGATTATACATGACCTTGACCTCATCATTTTGAGACAGACTTGGGGCCACTTCACTTTCGATTTTCTTTAACTTCCTCCCGATTTTACAAACGACTGGGTTATTATTATCATCAATGCCACAATCAGCCCAAGGGTAATTTTTGCATTGTAAAACATTTATGTACATTTTATTTAAAGTATATGAGATGTAAACTATCAATCAATCAATCAATCAATCAATCAATCAATCAATCAACCAATTAATCAATCAATTAATCAATCAATCAATTAATTGATCAATCAATTAATCAACCAATCAACCAACCAATCAATCAAATAACTAATTAATTTCTAAAGCGCCATTTCGGCGATATGAATTTAACAAACAGATGAGTCTTGTGATGGAGAAGCAGTTGGTAATACAGGTAGAAAGTTACAGAGAAAAAGAAAGATACACTTTAAAACTTTTTCATTTCGTCTCGAAAAAAAAAAAAACTATGCAGCATATGTTACGCGTATGTTTTAGAATATACACACACGCGCGCACATACAACCATGATTATTAATTTATCAAATAAATAATAATAACTCAGTCTATTTCATAATAATGATTATAATAAATAAATAAATAAATGTTTAAAAAAGCGATCAACTATGTAATAGTCGACTTTGTTGTTGTACATAATGCTGTTCGGCACCAGGGGGGTAAAGTGTAGAACAGAACAGAGATTCTTCATCATTCGGTTGTTGAAATGTAAATATTATAAGACATCAAAGCAAATGAAATAACGGAGATATATATATATATAGAAAAGAGAGAGAGAGAGAGAGAGAGGAGAGAGAGAGAGAGAGAGAGAGTTAGATTCATTGAAAAAAAAGAAGAGAAAATAGAGAAAAAAAGAGTAAGAAAGAAGGAGAGAGAGAAAGAGAGAGAGAGAAAGAGAGGGAGGTAAATATGCAGTTTGAGCAGACATAATAGAAAAATAGAAGATAAATGCAAAATAAATGTATGACTAAAATATGAATGACTGAAGGACAATGGTTAAACAAACAAACAAACGAATGAATGAATGAATGAATGATTGACCGAATGAATGAACGATTAAAATGAGTAAATGAATGAATGAACGAACTAAATGAAGAAATTAACACGTCGAGGTTTGAAAGAGGATGACTATCTTTTTAAATTGCCGGTACAAAAATAAATTAAATTGGAATCGAAAAAGAAGTCATTCATAAAATTCATGATTAGAATGCAAAAAATATGAATGAATGAACGAATGATGAACGAACGAATGAATGAGTGAGTGAATAAACAAACGAATGAATGACTCAATTTTTCATATCTTATGTCAGGTGTGGGCAAATTAAGCCTCTTTCGCCAAAAAAGGGCCACAAATCTCAAAAAAAATTCTCCCGCAGGTCGAAGAAGTTTACTATTTAAGTACATACGCGGCCCTTCAAAGGTAAAATACTTCTCAATGCGGCCCTCACAGCAAAAAGTTTGCCTACCCCTTGTCTTATGTCATTGTCATTATAATCGCTAACGGAATTAACAAGGACTTGTAGAAAATGCTATTATAATAACAGAAAAATGATTGAATGGAATTTGTTTAATGAATGAATGAATGAATGAACGAACGAAACGAATGAACAAATGAAAGAACGGATGAATGCATGAACGAAATTATTTGAATGTTGTTTGTTGATTGGTTCCTTGAATGTTTGGAGGGTACGGGTCAATCTGTCAGCAAGAGAAATATTTATTAACTTTTAAGAAATATCTATAACAGCTAATTTTCAAATTAATTAATCAATTGATTGATCAGTTAATTAATTAATCAATTAATTAAATAATTAATTGATTGATTAATTATAGCAAAAAATAATAAAATAACCAAAGAATGATTGAGTAAATAAATGAATGAATGTCAGAACGAAATGAACATTCAATCAGCCAATCTTCTTACCAGTCAAACAATCGACCAACCAACCATCCAACCAACCAACCAACCAACCAACCAACCAACCATCCAACCAATCCACCTCTGAATATGCAGGAGGCCTGTGGTAACAATCTGCAGCATAGGCATACATAGGCCTAAAGATATACCTCCCCTCTCTCCTCACATCATTATCTCGGCGACGACGACGACGGCGGCCGGCGTCGTTACAGCCACCGCCACCATCACCATCGAACCACCCGCTTTCCGGATCATCACCATCTCTAATGTCAACGGGGTCAAAGGCCACGTAGATTGGTGGTGGGGCTGTTTGGGGCGTGAAATGTATGTATGTATGTATGTATGTATATGTATGTATGTATATATGTATGTATGTATATGTATGTATATGTATGTATGTATGTATGTATGTATGTATGTATGTATGTATGTATGTATGTATGTATGTATGTATGTATATGTATGTATGTATGTATATATATGTATGTATGTATATATATGTATGTATGTATGCACGTATATAGAGTGATGGAATGCATATTACATTACAGATTGACTGAAGGGAGATAAAAGTATGCATATAAATATAAGATAAATATAATATTAAGAATAGTTAGTAGTAGTAGCAGCAGAAGAAGTAGCAGTAATAACAGCAGCAGTAGCAGTAGAAGAAGTAGCAGTAGTAGCAGCAGCAGCAGTAGTAGCAGTAGAAGAAGTAGCAGTAATAGCAGCAGCAGTAGTAGCAGCAGCAGCAGTAGCAGCAGAAGAAGTAGCAGTAATAGCAGCAGCAGTAGTAGCAGCAGCAGCAGTAGCAGCAGAAGAAGTAGCAGTAGCAGCAGAAGAAGTAGCAGTAATAGCAGCAGCAGTAGTAGCAGCAGCAGCAGTAGCAGCAGAAGAAGTAGCAGTAGCAGCAGAAGAAGTAGCAGTAATAGCAGCAGCAGTAGTAGCAGCAGCAGCAGTAGCAGCGGAAGAAGTAGCAGTAATAGCGGCATCAGCAGTAGTAGCAGCAGCAGCAAAAGTAGTAGTAGTAGTAGTAATACCAATTGTAGTAGTATTAGTATTTGAAAAGCAGAGCAAAAAACACACACAGTACTAACTCCTATTTACAAAGTTGGCCGTCTGACTCTCAACTCTGCTTCCATTATTATTCATACTATTATTATTATTATTATTCATATTACTATTATTATTATTTAACATATCATTATTATTATTATTATTTAAATTATTATTATTTATATTTTTATTATTATTTATATTATTATTAATAACGTCATCATAGCGGCGATTAATCTCTTCATAAGAAGGAGGGGGGTTATCTCTGGCATGGATTCGATCGGTAGTCTGCGTCGTTGTTGCTGATGTGATTGGTCGACAGTCACCTGACGCAGATGATGACGTCATAAGCACTGATGATGACGTCACAAGTGCTGATGACGATGATGCTGCCGATGTTCGAGACGCTGTTGTTGATGATGATGATGATGATGTCGTCGTCGTTAATGATGATGATCGCGATGATGATGATGATGTCGGTGGTGGTGATGATAATGATGACGATCGCGCTTCTGATGATGACGTCAAAACTTGAGGTAGAGATAGTGACGGTTGGCGAGGGTAGCACACCTTGTGAGGGTAAGGTTGAATTTTTTTTTAAATCATTCACTCATTTTTGGATTAATTAATTAATTAATTAAATAATTCATTTATTCATTTAATCAACCAAAAAACCATCCATCAATAATTAATCCATCTTTCAGCTCTTTGTTCAATTTTCAAATTAACCTCCAATCAATTAATCCAACTTTTCAATCCTTCATCTATCCAATCATTTACTCACTCATTCATTCATCTATATATCTATCCATCCATCCATCCATCCGTTCATTCATTCATTCATTCATTCATCCACCCACTTACTGGATTTCTCCTGTAGGGTGTAGTGCCTATGGTGATTGGAAGCAGCATGCAGAGGTTCGAAGATCCAGGAATATGCAAGGCGATCTGTATTTCATGGGAGAATGAATGAATGAATGAATGATTGAATGATGAATGAACGAACGAATGAATGAGTTAGTGAGTGAATGATGAATGAATGAAAGAATAAACTAATGAACGAACGAATAAGCAAACAGACAAACAGATGAATAAATGAATGGCCAAATGTTGGATGGATGGACATTTCTCATGGATGAAACATGTGGGTGAATGATGAAATAACTTAATAAATGAATAGGAATGAATGATAATTGGAAGAATGAATGAAAGATTGAATAAATGAACGAACGAATAAATGAAAGAATTAATGATGAATGGAGGGATGAATGAAAGAATGAAACCTTGATAAAATATTCAACTCTGATGACGAAACAGTTAGCGACCGTTGGAGGTATGACTGGAATTTTCATCAGCAAGCCGTCCCAGACTGACTGACTGTGCCTATTTATGTGGACTCCTGCAAGAAGTAGGGATGTGCGGGTAGTAGAGATGTGCAAGAAGTAGGGATGTGCGAATAGTAGAGATGTTCACAAAGTAGGGATGTACCAGAATCAGGAATGTGCAATGTTGAATGGTATTTGTTTTGTAATGTATGATGATGATATTTTGTCAGTGAATAGTTTGAATAAAGGAACTGATAGATTGATAACAATAGCCAACCAATCCGACATGACCAACCGACCAACCAGCCAGCCAACCAACCAACCATTCAATCAATCAATCATTCAACCAACCAACCAGCCGACCAACCAATCAACTAGCCAACCAACCAACCAACCAACCAACCAACCAACCGATCAATCAACCATTCAATCAATCAACCAACCAACCAGCCGACCAACCAATCAACTAGCCAACCAACCAATCAATCAATCAACTAACCAACCATTCAATCAATCAACCAACCAACCAGCCGACCAACCAATCAACCAGTCAACAATTCAATCAACCAACCAACCAACCAACCAGCCGACCAACCTGTTAAACTCGTAAACTTGCTCACCCTAATCCTCGATTTACCTCTAGCCAAAAAAGTCTGGATCTGGTGTAGGGAAGCATAAGGAATGACAGTGCGATTTGATTGGTTGTCAAACTCCGCCCACAACATTATCGACTCACCTGATTGGACGATGGGAAACGATGTAATATACAAATGGACCAATGAGATTGAGGGTTAAACGAACCTGGACAGTAGCCCTTCCGGTCAGTCCTGGCGTCGATGGATATTGTTCCCGATCTGCAGAAACAACAACACAACGACTTCTCTACCGAATTCTCTACTGGGCCCTGCATGAATGAATGGATGGATGAATTAATGGATGAATGAATGAATAGATTAATAAATGAATGTATGAATGAATGAATAAATAAATGAATGGAATAATAAATGAATGATTGAATGAACCTACTACACAAGAACTAATGAATAAATGAAAATGAATGAATGAAGATTGAAGAACGAACTAACAAACGAAAGAATGAATGAATTGAAGAAAAATGAATGAATGAATGAATGAATGAATGAATGAATGAACAAACGAATGACCAACGGAATAGATGGTTGTATCTTCACTTGATATATTTGTAATAGTTTTATAACTGGGAGCCTTAATTTTAACAGCAGAAACAGTATATACCAACTGTGCAAGAAGCTACATCTCGTATTCAAAGTATATATATAGTAGTAGTAGTAGTAGCAAGAGAAGTAGCAGTAAAAGCATCAGTAGCAGCAAATAGTAGTAGCAGTAGTAGTAGTAGTAGCAAGAGAAGTAGCAGCAAAAGCAGCAGTAGCAGCAAATAGTAGTAGCAGTAGTAGCAAGAGAAGTAGCAGCAAAAGCAGCAGTAGCAGCAAATAGTAGTAGCAGCAAAAGCAGCAAATAGTAGTAGCAGTAGTAGTAGTAGCAAGAGAAGTAGCAGCAAAAGCAGCAAATAGTAGTAGCAGTAATAGTAGTAGTAGCAAGAGACGTAGCAGCAAAAGCAACAGTAGCAGCAATAGTAGTAGCAGTAGTAGCAGCAGTAGCATCCCCCAATGTACCTGATAAATTGGCTTGTTGATGTCAATTGGACTGATAACTGTGAAAGCTTTTTTGGTCTTGTAGTTGAATGACCAGGGCTTATCAATTTCAGCCTTCAGCCAGTACCTTATATTGCCATGCTTCCCCTCAAATGAGGTAGATATGCCCCTACAGAATTATAATTTTTTGAAAATTATGATAATAATTATGATGATAATATAAATCAATCAATCAATCAATCATTCAATCATCGTTTAGCGTCAAGAGACCCAGCTCCCCCGAGGTAGAACGTTGTTTTCTTAGCCATCAACTTTTTGCGCCAAATTAGACGATCAGTTGTATTCATTTCATTTGAATTTAGAGCTTTCATGTCTTGCTCGATTGTTTGCGAGCATACAATTCTATATAACTATATATACACATACACACATACATATTAACAACCGTATATAACACTATATAACTATATACAACCGATGATAATATAATTATATAACATAATTATTGAAATTAGGAATGCAGATGATGAAGGACTAACTCGTAAGGCAATTCAAATATAAATGTGAACTGAAACTTTCCCTCGGGCAGAACTGACAGGTCGGCTTTGCTTTCATCTGGGTATGTGTGTGTGTGTATGTGCGTGTATGTATGTGTTTTTATGCATGTGTGTGTGTGTGTGTGTGTATGTATGTTTGTGTGTGTGTACATCTTCTTTATGTAAATGCATGCGTGTGTATGTATTTGTGTATATGTATGTTGGTATGTGTGTGTGTTTGTGTGTGTATGTTTCTATATTATTATAATAAAATTATGAATAATTAAATTTTGCCAACCATTTCCGTACAAGAGTTGTCTCTGGTTGAAGTATTCCACCTCGGAGTTGAAGTGTTCGGTGTAGGCTCCCAGCCTGGTCCCAGTGCTTCGAGATTCTGTCCAATGAACTTTAGCCACGCCCCTTATGTAGACCCGGATCGTTCGGAACCTAATTTCATTTTTAAGTTCAATAACACATTTCCCAGTTACCAAATCGCCGGGGTGATACACAGATTTGTTGTCGGCCAGCACCAATTCGAATGTTTTCACTTTTCCCATTCCTTTCTTTTGTTTTATGAAGAGTTTGCAGTTCGGTTTCAAGAACAGGGAGACTCAATAGAGTAGAATCTCAGGTCAGAGGAATGCAAGATTAATAACCTTCACCAATCAATTACCTCTTCTTCTTCTTAAAGTTATTTTTATAACTGGAGTATCATAGCTAGTGACTAATTTTAGCTTACTTACTAAACAGCACCGTATGCACGTAGCAGACAAAAAATTTTGAAAAATAATAGAAAAAAAAATTAGAAAATAAATAATTCGTAATTAATAAAAATTAGAAAATAAATTATTTGAAAGCAGCTGTCTACAAATCATTTAATTTCAATTAAAAAACAAAATTGTGAAACAAATCTTGATGGATATATAAAAATCATCGCAAAATGCCAAAAATGATTTTTATTGCGAAAAAATCAACTTTAAAAATCGAAAAATGATCATTTTTAGTTATACGATATCGCTGATAACAAAAGTATAAACAAATCCTCTTTTAAACATATTTTTATGGAAAGCGGAAAAACTTATAAAAATTCTCTAATCTAATATGAAATGTCATCAAGTCATCAATTGCTTATTAAATGACTTATTAAATGAAATGTTATTTATATAAACAAATTAAATTATTTTTTATATAATATAAAAATTAAAAAAAACGATAAATTAATAGAAATGAGATGCAAGTTTTCGGGAGTGTTCAATCGAGACAGAATTTGAAATAAAGTACATGAGGCAAAAATTTGGAAGCAGAAAAGTGTATGTGGAAAGGCTATAGGAAAAAGCAGTTGATAGTAAAATTTTTTGTAAATATTTCAACTTCCAAATGTACTAATGAGAAATAGAAAATAGAACAAATTCGCAAGACGGTTTCGTAATTTTTCCGATATCTACCTACCAACATATCTACCAACATCAACGGTACAGTTTTAGCTCTGATAGTCTATCTTTAGAATACCCAATGTATCTAGGATATCTATCTTTAGGATACCAAAGGTATCTAGGATATCTATCTTTACAATATCCAATGTATCTAAGATATCTATTTTTACAATACCCAATGTATCTAGGATATCTGTCTTTAGAATACCCAATGTATCTAGAATATCTATCTTTACAATATCCAATGTATCTAAGATATCTATCTTTGCGATATCTAATATATCTAGGATATCTATCTTTACCACATGTAATGTATCATAGGATATCTTATTCAATTTTAAAACATTTCATTTTGACGTTACTGCTCTGTTATATTTCTATGTTTACTTATTTACCTAAAAAGCATTTTACATGATAAACAGTTTTATATTATTTCATTTAAATTATTCTAAATTATTTTAAAAATGAAAATTTGTTGTTTAATTCTGTTCAAATGCCTTTATTCGCTCGCAGATGATGGTTGACAAACTTATACAATTAGGATTGATCATAAATTTATTCATTCAACATGCTTAACATGCTTAAGTGCATTGTGTGTGTGTTCGTTTGCGCACGTGTGTGTGTGTTCATTTGTGTGTGTGCGCCTTCATTACAGTGTGTTTGTTTGTGTGTGTTTTTTTGTTTGTGTGTTTGTGTGTGTGTTCATTAGTGTGAGTGTTCATTTGTGCGTGTGTGTGTGTTGCGTGTGTGTGTGTTGTTGATATCTTTAAGTGACGTATGCAGTAATGTGACAACAAGGCATAGTGATAAATATACATTGTAGCCATTCAGCATAATATTTTATGTGCTGTTTAGTATGACAATCATTAATTATTATCATTAATTATATTTCTTTAAGGAAACGATTTTGACCAGATACAAATTAGATACGGTAACAAACGAATGAATGAACGAATGAATGAATGAACGAATGAATGAATGAACGAATGAATGAATGAACGAACGAATGAATGAATGATATTCGAATCATTTCAAATTAATTTAAAACGATCGTATAATAAAATAAAATAATATATAAAATATAAAATAAAATATAATTTTAAATATAAAATAATTATTATTTTTATCTTATAAAAAGTTCTTTAAAGACATTTATTTATTATTCATGGATGTTTTGTATGTGTGTGTGTGTGTGTGTGTGTGTGTGTGTGTGTGTGTGTGTGTGTGTAATTGTTTTAATTAAATTTTTTTAATTACAGTCCCTGTTGCCGTTGAGTCTGTAGCACCAGAAATATACGCTGACGACGTTCAACTTAAACTGAGTTAGCATTTAAATCAATTTATTCAAAGAAATAAAACAAATAAATAGCTAATTATTCGAAGCGGTATTAATTATATTATAAAATTTAGTAGTAATAATGTTGAAAATGTATCATTTGGTAATGGAAATCGAGACAATTTTTGATACATAGTATCTTGAATCGATCGAATAGTATCATTATCTATCACCAAGCCCTCCCTATGGTTCGTTTTTCTGAAATGTGACGCTGATGTATGGAATTAAGCTGGCAGTTTTTTATTAGACTCACCACATAGTATTCAACCTCCTTAACAAGATAGAGTCGCTGATGCGAATTTGCCCCACCGGGAAACTATACAAGCAGATAGGCGGTGTTGTCATTATTATCTATTATTAATTAATTATTAACTAATTATTCTTTTTGCCAACTTCTATATCGGTCAACTTCTCAAGATAAGCCCCATCTCAAACCTAACATATATGCAAAATAGGTTGATGACGTCTTTATATCAGACGAAGAGCTTAATAAAGTTAATGAACTACTTGCTGTTCTCAGCAAATCCATAGTATGAGAATGATAAATCCCACCTTTTCTCGATGTCTTTATCACCCGAGATGAACATAGCTTCGAAACTGCAGTCTGCGTAAAAACTACAAACAAAGGCACTTGTCTCTATGGAAAAAGTGATTGCACTTTAAAATAATGTAATTTAATGTAATTTAATTTTTAAAAATGTAATTTAAAATCAGTACAACGAGATCATTCGCCAACCGAGCTTTCACCCACTCATCAACTAAAAAATGCGATGCGAAATTGATAAGAATTACGTATCTCTTGATAGACAACGAATACTGCAGAACTATGATTGAGGATATAATCAGACATAAATTACAACAACTCTACAGCACACAACGCAATCACTGACATCATCTTTAATTATATAGGAATCATATGAACACCAACTACAAAACGGAAGAATCCGTCTTAAAACCAATCATTTATAAAATAATCAAACCGACTAACCCTTCCGACAACATGAATCTATAAATTTATTAAAGGAATGCAAAGACGTAAAACCTCGTCACGAACAACAACTGCACTCTTCAAGATGGTTCGGCTTTAAAACGTAGCCACCTTACAATTGACTTTACAAGCTCCCTTTGGCGCTATGAACATCAAAATGCTTCATACAACATCGCTAACTAAACGTCTGACTATGCGCCACATAAGAGAAGTTTCTACAAAAACACACCTAGAACACACACATAATATTGAAATTACTAGAGAAATCTGGCAGTTTTTTTTATATAATAGATTTGCATTGTTTTCAATCCTCTGAACATGAAAATGAATAAAAATTCACCATCAGTTATATAAATTTTATTAATTAAATATTGATAGTTACTCCCCAAAAATAATGATATATCATGTAATTAATAAAATTCATTAAATTAGTCAATTGGTTGTTAAAAATTCAGTGAAAGCAGACGAAGATCTGGCTGCTAATGCATCGGCACCGGTCTACCTCGCAAACATCAGTGCCATCACGACCCTGCTGGCTGTCAGTGTGATATCGGCCTTTCAGAAGCCTTTCTTTAAGTAGTATTTGTGTTACTACTACTACTACTACTACTACTGCTACTGCTGCTGCTACTACTGCTACTACTACTACTACTACTACTGCTTAATAATAATAATAAATAATAATAATAAATAATAATAATAAATAATAATAATAAATAATAATAAATAATAATAATAATAAATAATAATAATAATAATAATAATAAATAATAATAAATAATAATAATAATAAATAATAATAATAATAATTAATAATAATAACAACAAAAAAAGAATTACCACGAGCGAAGACGATAGATTCAACACGAACAACGCAAACGCCACCTGGCGCTGCCACCCAGAGTACGAGGGCCCCGACTGGTACATGCGAACCTTCGACATCGAGGAGGAACATAACTGGCAGGTCAGATTCATCGGTGGGCGGAGTTATGTTAATGATGTACGCTCGGATGAGGGGGGAATATGTTAATGTAGGATTTAAGTTCTCTCTCTCTCTCTCTCTCTCTGTGTGTGTGTATGTATATGTGTGTGTGTGTGTGTGTGTGTTAATGAGGAGTTAACATGCTAATGTAGGCTCGAATGAAGGGTGAATATGTTAATGTAAGATTTAAGTTCTGTGTGTATGCTAAATAGGAGTGAACATGTTAATGTACGCCCGAAAGAGGAGTAAATATTGAAGTTGTGTATGTTAATAAGGAGTAAATATGTTAATGAGGAGAAAATATGTTAATGAAGAGTTAATATATTAATGAGGGTTAAATATGTCAATGAGAGGTATGTATGTCAGAACGTGATTAGGCGTATGTATTAGCATCGTAATTTTTACAATTGCTGGATATTGCCGATGTCACTACTTCTGCACATTGTACAGCAGTTATAAAGAATGAGGCAGAGATTTTGAAATAAGAAAATCCAAAAGGGAAAGGAAAAATTTCAAAGTTCTGCCAAAATGTTGAAATCACAATCGATAAATATCTGAATAGAAGCCTTCTTTAACCATTGGAGTTTCATAGCCATTGGAGTCGATGAAAGAGATGGAAAAAAGATTTAACGCCGATGAGATGTGGTTTTTGAGAAGAATTATGAAAATTAGTTTGACCTCTCATATTTCGAATGAGGATGGATTTAAAACTGTCCGGTTATGAAAAGAGGAAATTATTACAGATAATCCGACGGGGGAAGTTGAAGTTTTTCGGTCACATCATGCCGAAGGAAAGAATGGAAAATCTAACAACTACTGGATGGAAAGATTGCAGGGAGAATAAATCGCGGTCAACAACGAACAACATTCGTGAAGTCCTTGTGTCACTTGTTGAATATTACCACATTTCAACTCTTACAAAGTGTTTAAGATCGGGTTTTGTGGAGGTAGATGGTCACTAATGTCTTGAAAGGATCGGGCAGGAGAAAGAAGAAGAAAGTGGCGAAAAATACTTGCTTGTTTGGTATCATTTCAGAATATCAGCTCTTTGGTGCTATGTAAAAATTGAAAAAAAACAGAATAACAATAATAATTGTAATTGTCAACAATAACAACAATAATAATTATAATTTTTTTTGATAACGATAATAACAATAATAATTATAATTATACACCAAATAATTAAAATTCAAAATTTCCGCTCCCCTCCTTGACAGATAGCGACACTGGACAAAGATGGAGTCTTGATGGTGGACGACGTACAGACCGAACTCTATTGCAGATACAGGGGTTATTATTATTATTATTATTTATTATTATTATTATATTTATTATTATTATATTTATTATTATTATTAATTATTATTATATTTATTATAATTTTTGTTATATTTTTTGTTGTTATGGAGATTAGATGTTTTTTTTTTCTAAAGTTCCAAGATCAAAAAACCCGCTCGGTTCGTTGTATCAGTTCTTATTATGATTATTATTATCACTATAATTATAATTATTATCATTATAATTATCATCATTTTAATTATTAATAATTTATATTATGTTCCAGATATTTATCCCGGAGATAGACAATGTATTTATTCGTGTTGACTTAATTTTAAATCCCTGAATACTGATAAAGAAACTATTTTTATTACTAGTAGTAGTAGGAATAGCAGTAGTAGTAGTAGTAGTAGTAGTAGTAGTAGTAATAGTAGTAGTAATAGTAGTAGTAATAGTAGTAGTAATAGTAGTAGTAATAGTAGTAGTAGTAGTAGCAACAGTAGTAGTAGTAGTAGTAGTAGCAACAGTAGTAGTAGTAGTAGTAGTAGTAGCAGTAGTAGCAGCAGCAGTAGTAGTAGTAGTAGTAGTACTAGCAGTAGTAGTAGTAGTAGTAGCAGTAATAGTAGCAGTAGTAGCGACTATGGTTTTCATAATTTTGATACTGCTCCTTCAGCAATGAATGCCACCCAAGGTAACAATAAAACATGCAAAAAACCTAATGAGAAAAAATTAACATAAATTAACATAATTTAACATAAATGAGCATTGTTTGCATAAATTTGTATAAATTAATGGCAGTATCTGTGATAAACACTTATCTGTAAAATAATTTTTTCGGTATTGATTATAACAAATTGTAGATATGAATGTAATATATGAATGAATGAATGGATGGATGAATGAATGAATGAATGAACGAACGAACGAAAGAACGAATGAATGAATAAATGAGCAAATGCATTACAGAACAGCCTGTCTCTACGTTGGCCCCATTTGGATTCCAATCAAAAGGTTGTTGTTGTTAAAATTCACCATGAAGTTTTAATGAAATATAATATGATGAGGAGTGGTTACATAATTCTCGTTTACAATTATACTAAAGTTGCCACTAACTATACATTTCAGTATTTTTCAGTGCTATCCACACACACACACGCACACACATACACACACGCACGCACACACATTCTTAACTTTTTAACTCAACTATTAACTGTTATAATTATTATTAAAATATTTGTTTGACGTTAAAATCTGGAGTTCTTATTTAAATAGAAGATTTCACTGAACAACCAATATTTTCTTCATTTTTTTATTCATTCATTCATTCATTCATTCATTCATTCATTCATTCATTCATTCATTCATTCATTCATTCATTCAATCATTCATTCATTCATTCATTCAATCATTTTGAATGATTATTCACAAAATTTATCCGCAAATTGGTTGTTAATTTTGTAACCAACAGATGAAGATGCTGATATATCAGACTACATTGAAGGTTTTTTATTCATTCATTCATTCATTAATTCATTCATTCATTCGTTCGTTCGTTCATTCGTTTGTTCGTTCATTCATTCTTTCGTTCACCCCTTCATATGTTCACTTTCTCATTCGTTCATTCATTTAGCCGTTAGTTATTTGTAAACTAATTAATTCATTTATAAATAAATAAATTCATTCGTTAATTTTCATTCATTCATTAATTTCTTCATTCATTCACTCATTCATTTCTTCATTTATTCTTTCATTAAGTTAACCCTGACCTTAACCCCGGCCCTGATCTTAACTCATTCATTCATTCGATCATTCAATCATCATTCTTTTTCAATTTGTTCTTTCTCCCAAGAACTTGGAAATATTTTAAAAAATTACTTCTCACCACAGAGGCTAAAGAAAAAAGTTGGGCACTATATACATCATCATCGTCATCATCACCATCCATCATCGTCATCATCATAATCATCACTACCACCACCATCATCATCATCATCACCACCACCACCACAGTCTCCATACACTTGGAGGTGGATGAGGAGATTGAGGATTTGTTTGTGGACAGCCAGCGCCGGGATTACGTGTATGATGATGACGTCAGCAAGACTGTCAGCGTGCCAGGCTCCGTCGAAGTCATTGCCTTAAAAGTCTGCATAAATTAACATAAATTATCTAACACAAGCATCAAATTGTCATCGTAAGGACTTAAAATTAGCATATTAGGAACGTCAAATTAGCATATTAATGACGCCAAATTAGCATGTTAACGACATCCAATTATCATATTAATGACATCTAATTATCATATTAAGGACGTCAAATTAGCATGTTAATGACATCCAATTATCATATTAATGACATCAAATTATCATATTAATGTCTAAAATGTTGGCGAAAGTAACGATTACTATGATGATGCTGTTCTTTGTTGATGAGTCAGAGCCTATAAATAATAACCCAGGTTAGCAAGATAGACGAAGCTCCCAGGTTCAAATCCTGGTCGGAGAAGAACCCAATCTTCAACAGCCCATCCAGATGGAGATGCCTAGATAGGTACCCTGGTCTCGGATGGACCACCATCCATTTCTACGACAGGGTCCTCAAGCCCGCCGTCATAAAACGGGTCAGAGGTGATGAAAAGGTAAAAGGTGAAGGAAAGTGGTGCGGGGTTAAAGGTCAAGTGGCCCCGGGGAATAATGTCTGGGAAAAGATTAGAGGTGATGACAACAGTACTGATAATGGGACGGCGGTTTTCATGTTCTGCCGAATAACCGGTTGGTTGTTTTTGTTTGTAGTTTCGCTGCAGTTGTTGTGGCTGCTGTCTGTGCAGATACAATACAAATTCTCAAATTCATTTCTCACAAAACATAAGATTGATGAATTTATTTTATTTTATTTTGAGGGGGAGTTCAAATCTCTAAACACCCCCCCATCTGACTAGCCCCAAACGTGCCTGATTATTACACTAAACAATTTTTGTTTGCAGTGCCAAGAAAAATGAAGTCTTTTTTTTACGATGGTAACTTTATCAACTACCATCATCATTCACCATCACACCAACTATCATCACCCACCACCATCACTGCCACTGACACCTTCTTCCATCATCATCATCATCATCATCATCATGTTATTATTAATTTATTGTTATTATTATTATTTTCAATTTGTAACCTCGTAACCACACATGCACATACAACTAAGTTCTCATGGTGGAAGCCAAGTGAGCCAAGATAGTAAAAAGATTGGTTAATTATTCGCCAATCAGCCTGAAATAAAGTGTGTGTGTGTGTAAATACACACACACACACTTCAATTTCCAGAAAATTCTAGTAAAGAAAATTGATGAGGCAAACTTTAAATTGATTAACGCCAACAATTCAGTAGAATTGTGTGTATGTGTGTTTGTAAATACACACACACACGCATACACACATACACACACACAAACACACACACAAACACACACACAACACACACACACATCGGCGCTAAGCTCTCTAGTCAGAGTAATTTCAAACTGTATGGAGAATGTGCCTGATATTGAAACCTTCCTTCAAAAACTATTCCATCTTGTAACTCCTTTAAAAAATATGCCCAAATGTTTCTAGGAGGTTTGTTTCAGGTATCTTAGATGGCATATAACTCAACGATCTAAGATTTTTCTATTCACTGCAAAATTATTATACCACTGAAATTTGTTGGAAGTTTGTGTGAGGGTTGCTTGGATTGAGACGAAATGGCTATTCAATTGGTGGAAATTTAAGCCGCTGGCTGATGTAAAACGTTCTAAGGAGTATGCAACTGTCTTGATTGTTCTTTCGCCATCCCATCTTAATGAAATCAAGCAGCCAAGCAATGTTACAATAGTCTCTGTGTGCAGTACTATATAAGTAGCGTTCTATAAAATACCCATCACATACAATTACTCAGTGGGTATATATGTATGTATGTATGTATGTATGCATGCATGTATGTATGTATGTATGTATGTATGTATGTATGTATGTATGTATGTATGTATGTATGTATGTATGTATGTATGTATGTATGTATGTATGTATGTATGTATGTATGTATGTATGTATGTATGTGTGTATGTATGTATGTATGTATGTATGTATGTATGTATGTATGTATGTATGTATGTATGTATGTATGTATGTATGTATGTATGTATGTGTGTATGTATGTATGTATGTATGTATGTATGTATGTATGTATGTATGTATGTATGTATGTATGTATGTATACATTGGCATACAACTACTATTGTCATAAAGCAATTTGAAAAGTTCTTAGCACGTAA